CAGTGAATAAATGGAGGGAGGAAAGAAGGGATGGAGGGAACGGAGAGGGAGGGAGGAAGGGAAGGAGGGAATCAAGTGGGGTTGGATTACTTAGTGTTTCTTCAGATTTGCTTAAGTCCTAGTGACATGTCTTGCGCTTAGTAGACTGGTCTTGACCATTTCTTGTTTCCTCAGATGTGCGTGTGTGTGTGTGTGTGTGTCTGTGTGCTTTTATTTAATTTTGAGGCTAGTTTGATGGGCTGTCTATATTTCCATATAATCCAAAATACTAGAACCAATCCATATTAAATCACTTTTTATTTAGTAATTATTTTATAAATTAGTAAATGAAAATTTTTATGTCTGAAATGGAGGAATATTTTTCTTTCAACTCACACTGAACATTAGTTTCTTATTCTGGACCTTAACCATTTGCTGAATGTTAACAAAATGTGTGCATTATACACATAGACTTGCATACATGTGTAATCAGAGGCCATGTTTTCTTACATCCTGAAACATTTTATCCTATCATGGCATACTCTTTAAGAACCCTTATTTAATTTTCTCTCGGTTTTCATCTGATAGACAACTGTTCTGACGAGTTGATTACATGTTTTATGACGAATAGATCCAGAAACATAACAATTACAAGAAATTACGATGACATGCTGAATAAGGGAAGGAATTGGGTTTGCCCCAGGCGGATGGTAGTGCGGGGAGTGTGAGGAAGCTGGTGCTGAAGGCTCTTCTCTGGCCCGTGGTCCAGCAGGAAATGGCAGGGCTAGGATGCGTGGTGGGATGGTTTAGCTTTTGACAACAGAAGCAACTTCACAGACCGTTTGATAAAGAAAAGCAGGAAAGGCTTTGTGCACTCGCTCCTGTCTTCTATCTCGCCCCCCAGAGCAGATTCTGAGATGAGGATTTGTGTTCATGGAAATGTGCCAAGGACAAAACAGTAAGGAAGTGAGGAAGCGGCGGGGTGAAGTCATGAACACCAAGCAAGGGTGCATTTCGGGGTGAGGGCTCAGCCTCAGCCTGAACTCACAGGGCTTCTGGAACATTCATCACACTGCAGAGTTTGCCCCTCCCCGGAGGCAGGAGAGCCAGGTGTGCGCACTCCTGCACAAGTTCATCACTGCGGGTCACACCAGGAGCACCTCAGCTGTCAGAGAGCCAGGGCAAAGTGGCTGCAGCCCCTCGTGGGTCCTCAGAAGAGGGTTGTAAGTACGAGCTGTTAGGAGCTAAGTACACACGGAAGCTAGAAGCTGGGGAGTGAGAGTCCAGACCCGGCAAAGGGGTCCAGAGGAATCGGGTTGAACGTCTACACCATCGGCTACAGCTCCCCTGCCATTTAAACCCCCTGATGTTTAAACTTCTGCTATTTTATTGACTTCTCCGCAGGAAAAGAAAATGATATCCTCTCTGTCTTTGTCCTCTGATAGTCAACCTTTTAGTAGCTTCTTTTTTCATCTTTATTTAATACATGTAGTTACTGTCACATATACTATTCTCAAATAATTAGCCCCAGCAGCTACTTTTTCTTGAGTCATTAATAAAGAATTATATACTCTGCTTTTCATGTTAGGTCATGGGACTATATGGAGGTCAATACCTTGTTAATAATGAACGATTGATTGTATTCAGTGGTATGAGTCCTATGCTGAACAGATAAACCACAAATTTTGCTGACTCTTTGAAAGGTTCTAAACCACTGGCCATCTCTTAGCTACCTATTAATTCTCCCTCCCAGATTTATTTAATCCAGAGAAAGAATAATTCAAAATGAACATTATTCTCAAGACTCACAGCCACATTAGCCCACGGTTGTCAGCAACTCTGGTCCATGAAGGGGACGCGGTTACCTATGAAAAATGCTTATTCTATCTCTCGGTATTAATGGGCGTCATTGTGCCAGTGAGACCTACCCTGACGTGGAGATGTGATCTTTCAGCATCTATCATCCTGTTACATTTAAGACACTGTCTATGAGGCTGGAAATACATACCTGGTTTGGGAAGGTCTGTCCAAAAGTTCAGTGCCAAAACAGGACCGGAGTGACTCTTAAAATAAAACCCCAGATTTACTCCGTTTCTCAGGGATGGGCTGGCCGCCTGCTTTCCTTCCTTCCTTCCTGTTTTTATTTACCCTTTCATCCAACAGTTATTTACTGAGTGCCTACTAGGGGCCAGGCACTGTTGTAGGACTACAGCAGGGACAAAATACACAACGTCTCCCCTTATTGAATCTTTCGTTCTAGAATAGAGACTGAAGTTACACACACACACACACACACACACACACACACACACATGAGTTCTCATAGACCGTGGAAAGTGCTGTGTGGGTAGTAAAGTGAGGTACAGGTTGGAGTGACTCTGATGAGGCAGGCAGGGCTGGGTGGTGTCTTTGCAGAGGTGCCATCTGAGAAGGAGCCAGTTCTCTAATGATTGAGAATTAGACTTTCCTGGGTGGAAGGAATAATGACTGTGAAGCTTCATGCCAGCAACAAGCTTGATGTGCTCCAGAAAAGGTGGCCAGTGTGGCCGGAGAGAAGACAAGGGGAGAGTGGTCATGAGCTCTGAGCGATAAGCAGGCATCAGTTCACTTAAGGCCTCCTAGGCCGTAGGAAGGACATAGACCTTTGAGAATTCATGAGAAGGTTGTAAGAGTGTGACTTGATCTGATTGGTTTCTTAAAAGGTAGATGTCTGCTTTGCTGTTGGTGATGATGTAGGTAGAAGCAGGGAGACAGGACAGCAATGATGGCAGGTGAGACTGCCTGGGGGTGCTGTGGGCATTTGAGAAGGGGACATACCCAGGGTAGATTTTAGGGGCAGTGGCAAAGGACTTGCCGCTTATTACTGGGAAGTCCTCGAGTAGGTCATTCAACTTTCCTAGGCCTCAGTCTTCTCATCTGAAGGATGGGGATGATACCCATGTACCTACCCTACTGTGTTCTTATGAGGATTAAATGCATTCATATTTAATTAATATTTACTCCATGTAAAGCTCTTAAAATACTTTTGAGCAAATAGTAGTCAATATATATTTATTATTTTTTTAAATTGTGATTATTGGATGTGCAAAGGGAGGAATCACGGACGACACCTAGACTGGGGACTCAACTATGCAGCTTGTCGTCTGTGTACACAGGTGATGCCCTAAGTACTTTGAAGATGTGGAGGCTCTTAATCTAATTTTGCTGCTGTTGATTCATGGTGACCACAGCCATTAGCTCACACAGCTCCGTCTCTCCTTGCCTTTTTATCTGTACGTGGGACACAAGCTAACTACCCCTCCAGGAAACTTCCAGAAAAAGCATGAAGCTGAATTGCATGTTATACCTAACAGTCTTTGTATTTTTCAGTAGAGAAGTTATTAATTTTTCCCAAATGAACAAGGTGAAAATGACTGTATTCTGTAGCGAGCAAGACTGTGCAAACCTACCCCCAACGGCTGAGGGAGCTGAGAGGCCGAAGGAAGAGGCTGACAAATCCAGTTTCTCAGAGAGAAACATTCAATAGGGACTTACGAAGAGAAGCCATGTCTGGGATGGCTGGGAGATTGTGGATACCTGCATCCGCCCTCCAGAACATGTTCTTTGTAAAAGCAAGATTTTAGGGTAAACACATGTGCAGCCGGTCACGTCTCAGACTTTCTTGCGAAATCGTGACCACGGGGGAAGTTAGGTAAACATCTTTATAAAGGGCTATCTACGCTGTAGGCATTGTTTCTTTATGAGGCGTTATCTATGCTACAGGGACACCTTGGTATGCAGGAGTCAAACCTTGGTCATCACGGTGGCTTTGCTTCAAGATGGCATCACTCTTGCCCAACAGGCTGTTTTCCTACAGACTGACTGTAAAAAGGGACATGGTTTTTAATCTAAAGTCTATATGTTCAATGACTGTGAAATCCAGGTGTCTCGGTGCCTGTGTTTGTGTCTAATGTAATGTGTAAACAAGAACAAAAGGGAGGAAAATGGTTGCTGTTGGAGTATAGTCTGATAAGATGGTAAGACCAGTGAAAAGAAAAATTTAAATTGGATCAGAAAAAACAACGTCAAGGGAACGATATCACAGGTCTTTTATTATGCACACAAAAAGTATAACTTGGATGCCGTAAAAAAAAAAAAAAGCTAATGAATGCAGAAACCTATTCCATTAGCCCAGATAGGATATTTTGGGTCAATGACTTCTTATTCTTGGAATCTGGAACCCAGGTCTGAGTCCTGGCTCAGATTATTACTAATTATAAGCATACACCGTCTCTTTTAAATTCCAGCTTTTTTGTCAACCTTGCTGAGCTAGTATTTTACCTCACACTGTTGTTAGAAAAATCAAAAAAGACAATATATAAAAAAGCAATCTACTAATTATATGTTTAGTATTGTGACTATGTTATTACTATAAATACTAATCCAACTCTGAGAAATCAGGACCCATTTGGACCCGTGTCATTATGTTTTCACTTAAATGACGCTTTAACTTGAAGGTTGACCCCAGGAGAATCTGAGAGTTTTTGTCCCTGGTTCAGACAGTAGAGTCATAAATAGCAGTATTCACTTTAGCATTAACCATTATCCTTCAGATGGGTTACCTCCTTAGAGCAGCCCTTTTGCAGAAGGATTGCATCTATATTTTGATTTTTTTTCCCCAAAGTACTCTATCATGCACGTGAGTTTGGGTGCTTTAAATTAGAATTAACGCCGTCTCTCCCATTCTGGTTGCATTTTCTCCCTTTGCTCAGCCAGGGGTGTGGACATTGGTGGAGGGGATTAGGCTTCTCTCCTGTTAGCCAGCATGAGGCATAGCCCTGGAGATCCTTCTGAAATGCACACAACCATTCTTGCTTTCTTCGCTCTCAAGATAACTCTCGGCACATGTTATCATTCCTTTTGAGTGAGGACACCATGTTCCTAGCGGGTATTTCCAAATACACACACACTGGAAAGAAATAACAAAGCCTCCTAAAAGGTCATCTTCATCTATGCTGCTTTCTTTCTTTCTTTATCCCTAGGTAAGTGTGAGATCGGCTGGGCCTACTACTGCACGGGAGCAGGGGCTGCCGCCGCCATGCTGCTGTGCACGTGGCTGGCTTGCTTTTCTGGCAAGAAACAGAAGCACTACCCATACTGAGATGGAGCCCCCAAGAGCAGACGGAGGAGAAGATGGGCCAAAGTGGCTTGAAAGGGGCCGAAGCATCCAGCTACTTTCAGAAGGTGGAATAGTTGTTCTAATCCAATGCAATGCTAACGAAATGAAACCTAATAAAACCAGGAACGTTATATAGGAAGGAAGGGGTGTGGGAGATTTGTGAAAAGAAATGGAAAGTATGGAATGACAGAGAAAAATGGACCAAAGGCTAAAAATATTTCAGGGTGTTGGGTGTTTCTATTCCACAGAATATTGTTAACGTTTAACAAACACACACACAACAAATCTATATATGCAAACAAGGGTTTTGTTTGTGTTTTTGGTGTTTTTTTTTTTTTTTAAAGATGAGGACTCAGTAAATCAAAAGGGCTAGTAGAAACAGTGTTATGTTGGGCAGCAGGGCACCCTGCAGATGTTCCCTGTAGGCCATGGCACTCCTGAAAGCACACAAGCACACACAGACACGCATCCACACACGCGCCCACGCACAAACACGTGGATTGTCGCGCAGACCGTACAGGAGGTTTGGTGGTGCCATTATTCCTCTGTTTTCTTTTTAATATATATTTAAAATACAGTATTATCACTTTATGAAACATACATTAAGCCTAATAAATGGACCAATAAGCCACTCTATCAGTATTTTGTATACCCTGCGTAAACTCCTTACACCCTCAATACGTTTTCAGTGTTTATGCAGACTTTAGAGCTAAGCCTTCGTATTTCAATGTTATTCAAAGATATGCAATGTTTCTCTGAGTAGCTTCTGCTATGATACTCTTATGAAGTAAGAAGGACAACTTTCTGTCCACTGTTAGGAGAGACTTCAGCTGCAGACATGAGAGTGATAAGAGACATTTTCCAGGCATTGGATCTTGTTTTCTTTTGTCTATTATTGTTCTGTGCTGTACCACATTGATCTCAATATTCATTTTGTAAAAAACTACAAAGTGCTATTTTGTTTGTATTTGAAAAGCTCTGTGAATAAATTCTCTCTTTGATCAATAGCGAGATGCGTCATGGAGTGTTAACTCAGTTATCGAGTTTTCCTCTTTAATTTCTTAAATATAGCCTTTCCATTACGACAGTCATGTAAATTCTCCTTTTCTCTTTTAAGACCTCTCATTAATTCACTCACTAATCATCCAACTAGGCATAGTTTTAGGCATTCAGTGTGTTAAAGACAAATAAGACATAGTTTCTGCTTTCAAATCAAATTTTTTGCAGCCAGAATTCTAACTTCCTGCTTATTGCATTTCAATATGACCAAATTCTTGTGAGAGAAAAATTTCAGGTCTGTTTGGTATTAAGTCTGAGAATATGGGCAATACTCAGACATGATGTAGGGCAACAAGAGCCAGATCATGGCTCAGGAGGTGTCTGGACTGCTAGTTTCCAGGATGATGACAGTGTTGTCACAGCTGCTAGTGACGTGCTGTTCCTCCACCTTCTATGAGGTGCTGGGTTTCTTCTGTACTTCTGTGCCAGGGACAGTTTTACACCACGCTCCTTCAGGGATCTTGGCCACTGGAGAGAGGTTATCTCATGCCCCTTCCTCTGGCAGAAAGCCTTGACTGGAGAGAAAGGTTTGGACCCTCACATGCCCCCTTAACAGGACCAGCTCTCGCAGGCGCAAAGATTGCATACTGGATAATGCATATATCACTTTATTAAGCAAGTCTGATTTATTGTAGCAAATCCTTAAAAATTGAGCTTCAATTAGATTCTAAATTATGTGCTTTTCATATTTGGAAATTGAACATTCTGGCTATTTAGACATGTAACTATATTTTCTATACTCTGTATACATATTTATCAATTTAACTTGAATATCTGAATATCACACTTGCTTCTAGTCCTTTTAATCCTTCCAGGGTGAGGAGCCACACTGCTCTGGAAGAACAATACAGGAATCTGGCCAATAAAAGTCTGGACTTTCTGAGGCTTTGTTGGCATGGAGAAAGTCATTCCGTTCTCAAATGCTTAATTCATAATGTGCTGAATGTCATTTGATTGTGTCTCATTGTCTGCTGAGCAGGGGCTTCTCCACTCTGTGGTTTCCTGCAGAGAAGAGAAGATTGCACTTTGCTTCCTCAATTAGCCCATTATTTTCACGTATAGCTGGTGCTTTTCACATTTTTTTGAACTGCACCTTCCTGTCAGAATAGTGTTATGACTTCTTAGCTCCCATTATCAAGTTGGAATTCTCTATGGAATTCATTAAGGCCTAATTCTTTAGACACATTTAAGGATGTCAATGTCATTTTTATGTAGTCTGTATGATTTTAGACATTAGTGAGCCTCACTAGAATAAGAATCCAGCCACTCTTTCATGATAAAGTCAAATGACAAACACTTACATCACAAGGGCTAGTCATATCATATGATTTTTTTTCTTCTTCTTTTTCTTTTTTTGGTTCAAGATGTCCCAGCATTTCATGAGAAACATCTAATTTATTAATAATTATATGTTGTGATTTTCAATTGAAAATCAAGATTCATGAAATAATAATAACAACAATAGCAAGTCTGTGAAAATTATATATTCGCAGGACTCTTACTGATGTACACTTAAGAGGCAAAACATTTTTCCACTTTCACAACCTCAAGAGCGTTCATTGCTTGCACATGCCTGTGAGGTGAGTTGGGGGGGTTACCTTGTTTTCAGGAAGAGAAAATGACATGCAAAGAAGTGAATCGATGGAATTTAATTGACTCTTCCAATTTTCAGCAATTCATTCATGTATTTGGATAATAGTTATTGAGCACCTGCTAATTGGTAGGCATTCTATTAGATGTAAAGCACTAAACAGAGCATAGCCCCTGCTCTCAAGTTGGTCCTGAGCTTGTGGAGAAGAAGTAACAAGAGCATCGGTGATCATTCTACCATATGTCAACTGACTCTCAAAGACGGGGAGGAAGTTCCTCCCAGAATCCTGCACACACAAATTAAAAAGGCATAAAAGAAAGATGACATATGACAATGTTCTGCTTTTCAAAAGGCATCGTTTAGAAAATGAAAAGGTGAGCCTAAGACTGGAAAAAGTCATGTATCTGGTAAAGAACTTACATTCAGAATATATAAATAACTCTCTCAGATGAATAATAAAAAGACAACCCAATTTTGTAAATGGGTAGAAACGTGGATGGGGTAGTTCCCAAAACAGGACATACAAATGGCCAATAATGACATTGAAAAGGTTTTCAACATCATTAGTTGACAAGAAAACAAAACTTAAAGAACCACGATGAAACACCACTTACCATATATTAGAATAACCGAAAACTTAAAATATTAACAACATCAAATATTGCCAAGGATGTGGATACATGGTTGGAAAAACAATAGGCAATTTCTTATTAAGTTAAATGCAATAATTCCTCTTCTAGGTATTTATGCCAAAAAAAAATTATGTCCAGAAAAAGATTGTATAAGAATGTTCATTTACTCATAATAACCCTAAACTGGGAACAACTCAGATGTCCAGCAATGCATAAATGAATTGTGGTATATTTAAACAGTGGACTACTCAGCAATAAAAGGAATAAACATCTGGTATACACAACAACCTGGATGAATCTCACAGACATGTTGAGCAAAAGAAGGCAGACATGGGGAAAACTAATATTGGTGAGAGAAATTAGAATAGTAGTTACCCTCTTAAGAAGGATTGACTAGTGAGGACAGAGGGGAACTTCTTGGGATAATGGAAATATTCTATGTATTGATTGGGGTGGTGTCCAAATGGGTGTGTACGCTTGCCTAAATCCATCAATAAGAGCACTCATGGACTGCATTTTAGGGTACAATTGTACCTTAAAAAAAGAGAGTGGGGAGGGCTGTAAGGGTTAATGGAACTGTGAGTCATCTCACTTGGTGTGGCAGCAGTGAGGAAGGGTTAGTTTGGGACAGGTGGGAGACGAGACTTGAGAAAGGCAGGAAATGCTTTGTGTGCCACACTAAGAAACTAAAACCTAAAAACGATCCTGGAGGCAGTGGAAGACTCCAAAGTAAGGGGAAAGGTGGTAAAAACAACTTGTGTTTTTTAGCAAGATCCCTGGAGTTGGGGAAAAGGAGGTGAACAAATAGGGTGATGTCATCTAGGTGCGAAATGATAGGGCCAGACTGGGCAAAATTAGCAGTGGTGAAGAAGCTGTGACAGATTAGAGAGGACAGGATAAAATCGGTAGGTCTCTGGAATGTAAAGAGTCGGGAGTAAGAGTTGGGTGGATGCAAATGCCACAGACAGAGACAGGGTATAAAGAAAGGACAGGGTACTTCCCAACGTACACATGTAGCAAAACATTGTGTTGGACACCATGAATAAATACAATTTTTATTTTTCAATTAAAAATAAATTTAAAGAAAAAAGAAAGAGACTGTCAAACTAGAATTCTATACCCAAGGGAAATATTTCAAAAACAAAAACAAAAAAATTTCAAATAGATTCTGGTTATCAGCCCTTTATCGGATTTGTAGCATGCAAAAATTTTCTCCCATTCTGTAGGTTGTCCGTTTGCTCTTGTGACCGTTCCTTTGGCTGTGCAGAAGCTTTTTAATTTGATCAGGTCCCATTTATTTATTTTGGTTGTTGCTGTGATT